GGAGCATTAGCGGGTGGAGAACGCTTATATCGGGGAAAAATCGGCTATACCACCGCCCATGTGCGCAATATCGTCCTAAAAAAGCCCCGCATTCTTATATACCTTGTACTTTTTTCTCGCGCAGAATCAGCAGGCAACGAGGTGCATATAACGAAAGAAAAGTAAAAATAAAATAGGGGGAAAAAGAGTCGAAGGAACGAACAAGAAAATTACAATCTCATAGTATATGCATATAAATGTACGAGGCCGCTGAGAGCGGATATAAAATGTGCGTTGGCTGCTGCTGCTGCTGCTGCCTGAACCGCGCGTGTAGTGTTGCGAGAGAGAGAGGCTAATACGTATACATAGCTGCGCGGCACACGGCTCTCTCTCTGTCTCTTGGCTTTTGTAGCGCAAAATGGAGTCCGAAGCTCTCCGCGGCGCAACGAGAGCTCTCTGCGAGTCGTTGTTGCGGTGCGCGCCTCGTTCTCTCTATATATTGGCTCTCTCTCTCTGCCGTGTACACATATGCTGCTGTTGCTGCTGCTCCTCTCTCGTATTATAAACTCGGAATTACTCAGAACTCCGAGTAGCGAGCGTCGAGGCATTTTCTTTCATATTAACAGATGGGATCGTCCAAAATTTTCCCTACTACTCCGTTGCAACTCGTGTGTACGCTGCATCGCTGCAGTTGCACAGTGGCATTCGAGTAGCTCGAGTTAAAGGCGTCGAAGAGCTCGACAGATAGAGACGAAGGTAAATATAGGTAAAAGAATGCCGAGAAAGAGCCGAGACGGTGCACAAAGTGGCGAGTGTATATAGAGAAGGTGCCTATATAACTCAAGCGCGCTGACGAGAGATGGAAGCTTCCTTCTCTCTTCGCTTCTCTCTTCTCTGCTTTACCAGCCACTACTACCACTACCACCACCACCACCACCACTACTACTACCTTCCATTAGTGCTGACGGTGTAGTGCTGCACTACATATCGTATAAGCCCGCGTCGTTTATATGTATATATACCTATATGTTGTATGTGTAGTTGCACACGTTCGTCTCTCCCTCGGATTAATGCCAATCGCTCGACAGAGAGAGAGAGAGATAGACATGTTGCTGCTGCTGATGCCACACTGCTATATATATACGTACCTACACAGTCACACCTCGCGCGGGTATTATATACGCGATATTTTACTTGGTGTTCGAGGGAGCGAAAAATGACTGCTGCTTGTACTTAAACTCACGAATAGTTGTACATACGTACATATCTTTGTTGTTTTTAGAGAGAGAGAGAGAGAGAGAGAGAGAGAGAGAGGACAATTAGAAGGGAAAAGAAAGAAGGAGATTACAAAAACGAGATCTTTTAAGGAAGAAATTTATATATTTATGTACATAAATCGCATCGAGTCGCTTCTTTGATCCATAGTCATAACATACTTATAAGAGCGTCGAGTCCTTTTCGAGATAAATAAGTCTGAGCTCTGCTCCAAGGGCAGTATTATAGTATATACAGAGTCAGTCAAGTGCTTCGTTATGTATCAAGTACATATAAGAGCATCGAATAAAGAGAGAGAGAGAGAGAGAGAGCCAAGGATCCTTTGACTCTATTACGTATTTATTATTATGTTATATATTATAAGGGTGAATCTCGAGTACGTGCAGTTCTTCGGTATATAACGGTCCCGTCCACTGGACTCCCGATGATGGCCATTGTATTTACATAACACATATGTGCGCTCGTACAATATATATATATATATAGTCAACATATGCGCGCGTTCGTTCGTCCAGCCAGCTTATACATACGTACTGTCTCCTTGAAGCTTAATAAGGGCTGCGATGCAGTAGCTGCGTTACGATCGATTCGAGGAATCGATTTGAGCTTGCTCGCACTTGATTTTGCTTTTCCTGTCTCACATAAATTTTAAAAAGAAAAGTACGAGCTTTCGATTCTTTTTTTTTACATCGGGCCAATAGTCGAAAGATCTAACTCCTACGTTTAAGTTGCTGCGATGTATATGCGGTGGCGGATCGGAAAAAGTGTGTCACCCCCAGCGCGAACTTTCGCGCAATTCGAAGGACATTGGTGTAAGATTTTGGATCGATAAAAGTACCGAGGGAGAGGAAAAAACAATAACGAGGGCTTCTTACTGATTTTGAAGATATTTAAGAAAACATTTTTTGGTTTAAACTGAATCAAGAGAAGTTGGTTTTTTTCAGTGAGATATTATTGTTATAACTAATCAATTGTCTTTTAGCATAAATAATAAGTATTTCAGCAAATTCATCAAAAGCTTTCTTCAGCGCATGTTTTATGAATAGAGGGTCATGTATAATACAGGTTTTTTTTTAAAAATTCAGTTCTAAACATTATGTGAAAAAAACTCTCGGCCGATCGTTGCTTGAACAGCCTTGCAGATAATTAAGTATCCAATAATGAAACAACCGTCATGATGGACAAAGGTACAATGATAGTTGATATCAAGTAAGATACAATCATAATGGCAAAATTTTTATTGAAATTTTAGAAAACATATATGTATCTATACTCTTGTCAACCATGATTTTTTTCTCGAAATCGTGGCATGCTTAAATTTTGCAACCTACGTGAATTTTCCTTTGGTGCCTCAGCAAAGCATGTTTTTGTCCAAATTTTCTCTCGCACTTTTCGCATGCGTAGTCTTTGCGACCTTCATGAATTGTTCTTTGGTGCGTAAGCAAATTCGATTTTACTCCGAATACCTTCTCGCATTTGTCACATGCGAAATCTTTACGACCTTCATGAACTATTCTTTGATGCCTCAATACATCTATTTTTTGTCCAAATTTCTTCTCGCACTTGTCGCATGCAAAATCTTTAAAACCTTCGTGTACTAACTTCCGGTGTAAAAGGAAATGCGATATTTGTCCAAATTTTTTCTCGCATATTTCACATTTGTAATCTTTCCGACCATCGTGAACTGTTTTTTGGTGCCTGGTCAAAGCGCTTGGATTTCCAAACGTCTTCTCGCACTTGTCGCATAGGTAATCCTTGCGACCTTCGTGAACTGTCCTTTGATGGGAGAGCAAATGTGGCATTTGTCCAAACTTCTTCTCGCATTGGTTGCATGCGTAATCTTTTCGACCTTCGTGGACTGTTTTTTGATGTCTAATCAATTTCCATTTTTCTCCAAATTTTTGCTCGCACTTGTCACAGGCGAAGTCTTTGCGACCCTCGTGGACCGTACTTTGGTGTCTGAGCAAATTCAATTTACGTCCAAATTTTTGATCGCATTTTTCGCATGGGTAATCTTTGCGATCTTCGTGTACTATCCTGTGGTGCTTCAACACACCTAATTTAGATCCATATTTCCTATCGCACTTGTCACAGGCGAAATCTTTGCGACTTTCGTGGACTTCGCTTATGTGCGGGAGCAAATATCTTTTGCGTACGAATTTTTTTTCGTATTTGTCGCAAGTGCGATTTTTCTGAGCATTGTGCATTATCCTTTGGTGGAAGAGTAACTGACTTTTTTTTCCAAATTTCTTTTCGCATTTATCATGTACTGTCTTTATGTGCAAGAGCAAACTATGTTTATTACCAAATCTCTTCGCGCACTTTTCACATAAAAAGTCTTTGAAAACTTCGTGAAATATTTTTCTGTGCTTGATTAAATTTGATTTATTTTCAAATTTTTTCTCGCACTTGTTACATGAAAAATCTTCGCGTTCTTTGTGTACTAATTTTTGGTGCGTAAGCAAAATTGATTTTTTCAAAAATTTCTTCTCACATTGGTCACATGCAAAATCATTACGGCTTTTGTGTGCCGATATTAGATGTCTACTCAAGTGACTTTGGAACTCAAATTTTTTGTCACACTTATCGCATACGTAATTTTTCTCTTTATTGTGAATTGTGTCTCGGTGGGTTATCAAGTTTGATTCCAGTGTAAATGACTCCTGGCAAATATCACAAACATATTTTTTGTCGTCTGAAACACCAACGTCGTATTCATTTAAATTATGTTCCGAAATATTTTCCCCGGATTTCTTCTCACTTTTATTCATTTCGGTACCGAAATTAAACGACGGATCCTACTATTCGGTGCCACGGAAATTAAATAAGTAAAATTTATTTTCCGGTAATATTGTTTTGTTTGATTGGGAAAGACAATATTCAAACTAATTTGATTTTACTGTTAACAACATTAGTGTATCGAGGGAATGTGTCGGAATCGTTTTGGATCATATTGTTTAGAATTAAGGTACCGATTTATCTGTTTATACATTGTTCTTGCAACATTTGGAACAATTAAAAATTCCAACTTGACGACTATTTTTTTTTCGATTAATTTTTTGGCCTTCTAAAACGAAGTTTTTCTTAAAAAACTCTTGAGCAACAACATCAAGTTCACACGATAAACATCGAGTAAATAGATCCGTATACCCTCGTATCAGAAGACATTTTAATATTCATCTCAAAATTTGTCATCCCCTGCCATGGCGTAATTGGCGAGCTCGATAACCCGCCTCTGAATGTATGGATTAACATGATCTTATTGACGAGCGAAATCCGGACGATTGGCTCTGTCGATGATTCACGACATATTATAGCTTTCTTTGGGCTTTCCTTTTTTTTCCAAAATAAACACTTTTGTACAGACGCGCTAGGTATACAAGAGTAAACTCGTGAAAAAATAAGCGAGCGCGATACCATAAGCATTTTTCACAGTCGTCACTACTAATCGCTGGATTGATTTGCCTTTATTCAATCCGCAACACCTTATTTGATGTTACTCCGAGCAAATCAGTAAAGTGACCAGTACAGTGACGACTGTGAAATAGGCTTTTTGTCTCGCTGTGGTTGGTCGACCCTTGTTTTTTCTATTCGCGCGCGCGACTTACATCTCGGCCCTCGTTTCTTTGTAACGTCCACTCGTCCCGTGCGCGTAGAGCGTCGTGTTGTATTCTGTCTCGCTCATTGCTGCAGCAGTGCGTGTTCGTGCGAGTTACGCGGTCAAACGTAGGATTAATCTGCTTCGCACAGTCAGTGCAAGTTACGACGCCGCTACCTAAGCAACGAAGAAAGATCGTGTCGACGGCAGCAAGTGATTTTTGTAAAGTGAGATATATTTTTGAGCGATACAGTGTTATAAACTTGTATGTTTAGAACAATGGCCCAAGAAAATCAAGACAGTTTGAGCGAATTGAAGAGAATGCGAGAAAATGTCAATTGGGAGATGGAAAATGAGCGACGTGAATTTTACAGGCAATTTTACAGTTTAATCACTAATTGGCAGGGCCCACTTCCTAACCTCCGAGACATTTTTCGTCCTGACGAGATCGATTGGCTTCTCGCGGAGTCTTGTGAAGCGTACGGAAGGAATCCAGCATCATTCGTTGACTTTGTGATCAATACCGGTTACAAAGATAAAGATGGCAAGCATTTGTTGCGTCGCACCACACCCATACATCGTGCGACCAAACATCGGTTTTTTCAGAAAGTAAGCATTGTCCATAAGCTTTTTAGAATTTACGATAGTTTCGTCATGAACTACGTCGACGAAGATGGATTAGGGGCCTTCCATTAATTACGTAATGACCTTTGGGAGGGGGGTGGTTGGCGAATTTCCTTACTAATAATTATGTAGGGGGGGTAGGGGGGTATTTCAAAAATATTACGTAATTTGAATATTACATTCGTATTAAATTTTTTTTTATAAAATTATACACATCAATAGTATTATGAATCAGAACTATGTTTTAGTGCACACACTGCGTGAGCACACATTTTTTACTATATATTATAAATATTTTTGAAGGATAGAGTTTGCCGCTACTGTGATATATATTTTGCGAGTATGAAAAATGTTGAAGCGCATAGAAAAGCTATTCATCCTAAAATTAAGAAAGTAAAAAAAAAAATTTCTGTCGAAGTCATTAAGCGCCGCGAAAATGAAGCTTTATGTATTGTTAAAAACAATGATTTAGAAGACGTTGAATGGTGGGATATCGAGGAGCTTATTGCGAGGGATATATTAATTCCCAATGAGCAACCTGTACCAGAAGATGATTTACCCATCATAAAGTCCATACAAGAATGGCTTGAGTGTGATTGGACTGAAGACGCTTAAAACATTAATTACTTAAAAATAATTTAAAATTATATTAAAAATTATTATTTTTATAATGTAAGAATTATTTTTGTTCAAAAATGTATTAATCAAGAGACCAAATATTGATCCAAAAATTGTTAAATCTAGAAATTAGAACACAAATAAATAATAAAAAAAGAATCCAATGTTTGAATTATAAAAAATATATTGCTCGTCAGTTTTTGTGATTTTTTTTTTTTTGATGCATCAGTTTTTTCAGTTTTTTTTCAGGAAGGGGTCATTACGATTACTACAGAGAGGGGGAGGGGGGGTATGTAGAATCTTACTATCCATTACATGGCAGGGGGGTGTATCGAAAAAATCAAAAAATACCATTACGTAATTTATGGAAGGCCCCTTAACGCATTTTCACGTGGCCTGCAAACACGGCTGTGTCAACGTCGTGAAGAAATTTCTCGAGCTCGGCCAGGACCCCAATTGTCTCGTGCCAGAAACGGGTAACTCGCCGCTACACTTTGCCCTGGCCTACATGCGGAAGGAGGTGGCAAAATTGCTGTTGAAAAATGGCGCCAATCTGACTTTGGCCAATAAGAACGGATCGACACCTCTGCACTTGATTTTCAAGATAGACGCCGATGGCGGTTTGACGGAGATGTTCTTTGAGATATGCAGAGACAGACGCCAGACAATACAGGTCGACGCCCGGGACAAAGAGGGTAACACACCGTTATACTTGGCTCTGAGTTACGACAGAAAGAAGGCGGTTGAAACACTGCTAAGAAATGGCGCCAATCCGAACTTGGTCAACGACAAAGGAAAGACACCTCTGCATTTCATGAGCCTTGCACGGACCAAACAATTTGTGGCGAAGACGTTTTTGGATATCAGTGACGCATTGAATCGTCCTGTGCTGGTCGATGCCCGAGACAACAAGGGTAACACACCATTGCATTCGGCAATAAAAAACAGATGCGGACACATGGTCGAATTTCTGCTAAAACATGGCGCCAATCCGAATGCTGTCAATCAGGAAGGATCAACTCCTCTGCATTTGATTTGCACCATGCTTGTAACCAAAAAAGGCCCTATATTTTTGCGGATATTCTTCAAGACTTGTGACGAGGTCCAGCAGACGGTTCAGGTCGATGCTCGAAACAAGTTGGGCCAGACACCGCTTCAATTGGCCGTGACACATCTCTCGTTGGATACGGTCGATGTTCTGTTGGATCGTGGCGCTGATCTGTCCAAATTCTCTTTTCCTACCGAGAGCCTCTTCAAGCACGTATTATATGGAAGCGGGCATAATTGCTCTAAATTGCAACTAGCGTCAAACGTTCTGCGAGTCGTCGAGCATCTCAAGGATAAAGGATACGAGCTGGACCGAAACGACGTCCTGACGATCGCGTCGTCGTTCTCCAAGTACAGATTGTTCGAGAGGTCGGTGGATCTCGATAAATCTTGGTACGACGACGTAAAGTTCACGGAAAAAGCAAAAAACATGATAATAATCAAACCGGACTTGACGCTCTACGACCTGACCCGGCTAAGGCCCGAAGAAACGAAAAAACTACTCGCAAAAGAGGAATACATCAAGTTTGCGTGCTCGAAAAAATTAAACAAGCTCCTTACAAGGCACAGGAAGCCTTGCGCTTTGCATTTGTGTGAGAAAATATCGAGAAGATTTTTCCGGCGCTGGGCATTGGATGGCTTCTTGGAGCTGACGCGCTATAAGCTGCCGATTCTCTGTTCTGAGATGATCATCGAAAATTTGAAGAACGTAGATTTATGTAAAGTTTGTTTGTCAGTCAATGTGTCATTGTAATGTATTTTTCAACGTCTGCTGTTTTGTAATGTTCCATTTATTTATCTGCTTTCATATAACACAAATAAATGAGTTTAAAATTTTTTTTATTTAATCATTTGCTCTAAGATTTTCACATTTTCATGCTTGAATTTTATTTCAATTTTATTTACCAAAAATCATCAAGAAGTTTTACATCTTTCTTTTTATACGCTATTTATATCAATACCCGATCAGCTAAGATATGTCGTTCTAGTCTTTGACAATTCTCACAGAAAATGAAGTGTCCGTTAATTGGTTTTCGAAAAAAAAACTGCGTCAATATCCGTCCACTTTATAATACGACATGATTCCATTAATTTATTTTAAAACACTCTGCGAACAAGGCCGTCCCACTTGAATCATTTTAAAATTTGTTCGAAAGTTTATATAGCTTGAATAATAGTGGCAGTGTATTTGTAGAGTTGCCCTTTTATGGTGTGAATTATTGTGCTCACAAATCCTGCGCAACATTGGCTTAAAACGTATATTCATGATCGTTGTGTATATGGGCCGAGAGTAACATTTTTCCGCATACACGCGACCGTTGAAACGATGGAGGCGCTGACGATCGTGAAATCGCCCAATAACATTGGCGCGCGCGACTACAGCTCGGCCCTCGTACCTTTGTAACGTCCACTTGTCTCGTGCGCGTAGAGCCTCGTGTTGTACTCTGTCCCGCTCATTGCTGCAGCGGTGCGTGTTCGTGCGAGTTACGCGGTGGCCCGTATGCGTTTCGCACACGTTTTTGTTCGTCACAGTCAGTACCAGTTACAAAGCCGCTGGCTAAGCAACGAAGAAAGATCATTACAAGAGTTTAGTGAGTGATTCTTGCGCAAATAGTGAAAAATATTTTACATTAATACGAGCGATTTTGGGCGGTATGTCAGTGTCTCGAACTATGGAGGTGTATAACTATAGCTCTAATAGCTCTGACAGCTCTGATAGTTCTGATAGTTCTGATAGCCACATTGCAGACTTCACATTCAGTGCCGAATTCTGGTATCGTATTAATGAAGAAAAATCGCAAAAATTGAAAAGTATGTGTGAAAGGGTCGATTTGGAAGTCGAAGAAGAGCGACGCGAATTTCTCTACCGACTTGAGCCTTTGGTCAACGATTGGTGTGGCGTATATCCCAATCTCCTGAACTTTTTTCGAAAGAAAGAAATTGACCGTCTTCTTTCGAATTCCGTAGAATTTCAAAATTCTTGTAGTGGTTCAAGTCCATTCTTTGAGTTCGTGCTTCGCTGTGGCTACAAAGACGAGCCCGAAGTCGACGAAGATGGCAAATATCTGTTGCATCGCACCACACCAGTGCATCGGATTAGGCGAAGGTTTTTTCGCAGGGACACCAATCTTCCTCTCTTGAAAAATCTTTTTGAAATATACAATAGGTATGACGTGAACTACACTGACGAATTCGGCCTGACACATTTCCATGTGGCCTGTGAATATGGCTTGGATGATGTTGTCGAAAATTTCCTTGAACTCGGGCAGGATCCGAATTGCCTCCCGCAAGAATCGGTCGCGAGCTCAATTGATCCACCACTGCATTTGGCTCTGCGCAAAGCTGAACTTCTTGTAGCCGATTTGCTTTTGAAAAGTAGAGCCGATCCCAATTTGCCCAACGCGGAAGGATTGACACCGCTGCACATTTTATGCAAGAGTTACCATCCTCATAGGCAGGACTTATTGAAAGAATTCTTGAATATCAACGACAAAATGAATCTGACGGTGCAGATAGATGCTGAGGACAAGTCGGGCCGGACACCGCTGCAATTGGCCGTAGCGAATTTCTGGCTTGACACGATAGATACACTCTTGGATCGAGGTGCCGACCTATCTGGCTTTGTTTTTCCCAACGAGAGTTACTTCGGCGAGATAGCAAAAACTCTGTTCTACGACAGCAATTTTAAATTGCGATCAACGACCGATGCCCTGGCTGTCGTCGAACATCTTCAGGCAAGAGGATACGAGCTGGACCGTAGCGGCGCCCGAACGATCCTGCGATTTTTCGCCGAGCACGAGGTCTTCGAGAAGCCGGGTCAACTCGACGAGGATTGGTACGTCGACGAAACGTTCGCCAAAAAAGCCAAAAAGACACTGATGCGTTCGGGCCTGACGCTCCACGACTGGATCCAGTTACGACCGGAAGAGGCGGCGAAAGCGGTCACGTTCGGGGACTACTACAAGTTCGCGTGCTCGAAAAAATTGTCCAGGCTTCCGACGGCCAGAAAATCTCCGAGAGATTTTCGTCGGGCTTGTGCTCTGCGCCTCTCCGAGATGGCGGCGAGAAGATTTTGTCGCCGATGGGCGATCGATTGTTTTTTGGAGCTGACGGGCTACCGGCTGCCAATACTTTGCTGCGAAACGATCATCGATAAATTGATGAACGACGATTTGTGTCGTATTTGCTTGGCGGCTATAAGCCAGAGTCGCGAGGACGGTGAAACGAAATGTAAAAACAACCGAATTGTGAAATGTAAAAAACCGGCGAGGGGTAGAAAATCTCAAAAAAAGTCATAAGAATAATTGAGGTTTTTTTTTCATTCATATTTTCATATTTACTTCATGACTACAGGCTGTAGTTTGCGATGGAGATCAACATATTTTTTAATCATTTTTCAATCCAGTTCTCTTTAATATTTTATATAATTTTCCTTATCATACAAATAAATGAATTTAAAAAAATTGTATTCAGTATTTCTCTTTGATTTTCATACTTGTTTATTTCAATTTCCCTAAGTAGTTTTAAATCTTGCAATAGTTATTACAAAGCTGCTCATTGACTTTATTTTTCTACTTCGCCAGTGTCCAACGCTAAAATCCCGAAGAAAATATTCAACTAGCCTTACACGAGTAAACACTGCGCGAAAACTTACGACGCAACAATGCGCGATCGCTCTTTAAGGTTACTCCTATTCGTCGAAATCGTTCTGACATCACCGTGGATCGTCGTCGTCGTCGTCATCACCGTTGCGAGGTGCGCAGCAGCAACAACAAATCTCAACGTAGGTGCAATTATTCTTCGTTCTTTTGTCCTGCAGTCGACACGAGCCAAGCTCGCGCGGAGTACTGTACATAATCCGAAAAAGCTCGTGTTGCACGACCCACCGTGTAATTCTCATTTTATTATTACGAAGGATCTCGATGAGAAAGAAAGGAAAAAAAAATCGATTAGTGCGACTAGTTCGTTTACGCACATACACACGCGCGCGCCAATATAGATTCACGTTTGTACGTAAGCGTATGTGCGTGCGAGCGAGCACGAGCACACACACATACACAGTCGCGTGGTTACGTCAGAAAATTATAAATAGAAAATACAACTCATGCAGCGTGCGCACAAAGTCAAAGAGAGGCATTACCAAGAGAGAGAGAGAGAGCGCAGGCATTGTGACAATTTCCCGAGATTTCGCGCACGTTCTGAGCCACCTCCAAGCTCTAGCAACAGTACGTAGTGTTTTATGCGTATATTAACAACTGCACATCACAAAGATTTAGACGCAATATTGTTGCAGCGAACTCAATTTACGTTGTCGTATGTTTTTCTCCCTCGTAAGTAATTATAAGTACAAAGAATTTTCACGGGCTGATAAAGTAGGCGCATATTGAATTCGGAAACTCGTGATAATAATACAGCTCGGCAAAAAGAAATCAGGTGCCGCGCGTCGTCGTATAGCATAGCTCGAGCTCGCTCTGCAATGACAACGATTTGAAATTCTAATTAGATCTCTGTTATTCGCGAGCGTGAATATTCCTTATTTATAAGAGCGTTCGAGCGCGAAGCCGCGCGTACGGCCCGAGTACGAGAGAGAGAGAGAGAGACACGCCGAATTCGTAAATATTACAGTACTTATGGCAGCGGCGCGATCGAGCTCGAGGCGATTCGATTTATGTGTCATTTGCATGTGGACAAAATAAAGCGAAAAAAAAAACAACTACGCATTTAGATGTATCGAGAGCTGGTGCGCGGTTATAACGTATTAAACGCATGACATTGAGACAGTTTTATCTTACTCCTACTTCTCTCCTTCGAGAAAGAGAGAGACGAAGAGCTACGGCATGCTCATACGCGGATTTTTTTCGCTCAGTGCGCACAAAATGATTCCGAGAATTAATCCCAGTCTGAATTTGGTCGATTGTTGGTGCATTTCGGAAACGATGAAATGACTGACTTGGTTTCAAGGGGGTTGTTACGATCGATGGATGGAAAAGAACGAAATCAACGTCCTGTCGAAAAAAGTTTTCATCGCTTTTCATTACTAAAATGAAAGTATTTTTGGGGGTGCGATGGTTTTTTTTCCTATACATCAAAAACAATGCTAAATAAATTGTTATTTTGAAAGGTTTATTATTTATTATAAAATGATGTCAGTCTAAATCTCTTTACGCCAGAAAATACGTCTCAAATACTTAATTTAGTTCAAGGCGTTACAAAAATGGTTCATGATTTTTGAAAAATCTGGATTTATCGGACCCTAAATCTGTGTAATAAAATTCTCTTCTACTTAACTGTAGCAAATTTTTGTTTAAATTATTTATTTACTCTGCCAGCTGGCTGAAGATATACCGATTTACGTAAGAGAAATATTTGCAATAATTTTCTAATACTTTCTTGAAATACTGAACAGATACATAGACAAAGCTCTGTAGAAGAATAATTATTGGATCCTAGATTAATTAAAATATTTTATGGGTATGAAGGCACATTTTTTACAGTGAATAAGCTTGAAATAACATAATTTTTTACGAAATACATTCTAGATTGTTTTTTATTCATAGGAACAAGCTTAGATGTATCTCTTTAGAGAAAAAAACTCTGGAGCTAGGGTAAAAATTCAATTTTCCACTTCGTTTTCGAAAACCGCTCTATCGATTATTTTTCTAAAAGGTTTTGTTTTACCTTTCGATATTTGATTAACTCTAGAGCACCATAGAGCCATTTAGAAAAATAGTTAATAGAGTTTTCATAAAACAAAGTTGAAAATTTGATTTTTACACTGGCCTCGTCCACCCTTTAATTCGTAAAAAGCTTCATGGGCGATTTCGGGACATTGATACCTACACTGACACGGACATACGTTATACTTCAAAGAAAGCTCTGTCAACTTTATAAATCGTAACGGTCGTCAAACAATATTTTTTTATCCTTGTCGAATTATTTTTTTCTACTCAATCAATGATTCATACACAAGTTCGAGTTTGCTCGTCGAAAGTTTTCTAATGCCACGGACTGCGCACCATGTCAAATTATTCCCAAGTCAAAATTCGTTTCCTATGAATACTTATGAGCAGTTCTGTATGAAAACTTTAGTAATCGAGGCTAAAATCGTAATAGAAATTTTTCGTCGATGGACGTGCTCAATCGACAATGATAATTGTAAAGAAATATGAAGAAATATGTGAACGATGAAAATTTTGAGTGATATTTTGTCTACGACTAATTTGTATTTCAGAGGACAAAAAATCGCGTTATCCCGTTAATTCAATCTTATTTTTTACTGCCGGAATCGTTCGAAACCCTTCTTTGACTCTCTTTTTGAATTAGGAACATTGAATACCTAAGAAGTAGGCCACCAGGGGTCAGAAAATTGACATTAAAAGGAATGTTGAAATGAACTGAGAAAAATATCTTTAAAAAAATTTGTTTATTCGTAGTTATTTCATAGGGATACAATCAAAGAACCTCAAATAGAAATTAAATGTGCTAAACATTATGCATAATCATTTTTAAAGCCATTCATTAAATATTAATCCGTGAGTGATGCACCATATCGATGGGTTTTTTTAGTTGAGTATTTTTTTCTTCGTGTGTCGCGCGTGTTTAAAACCTGTAAGCAACACATCTTTGTGGCACACGAAGACAACCTTACCTTTTAATTTTGTCCCGTAAATTTCTCATGCATGCTTGACACTATTGTGTATCGTCTTGATGTGAACTTTGAGACTACTCTTATGTGAAAATTTCTTTCCGCATGCACCACATGCATGTTTGACACCATTGTGCGCCGCCTTGATGTGGGTTTGCAGATTACTCTTATGCGTAAATGTCTTTCTGCAAATATCACATGAGAGAGTGACATCATTGTGCACGGAATCGACGTGAGTTTTGAGATAACCTTTTTGTGAATATGACTTTCCGCAAATATCACAAGAGTAAGTGGTACCATTGTGCATGGAATCGATGTGAGTTTTGAGATTACCTTTTAAGGAAAAAGTCTTTCCGCAAATATCACAAGAGTAAGTGGCACCATTGTGCATATAATTGATGTGAGTTTTGAGGCTATTTTTATGAGAATACGACTTTCCGCAAATATCACACGAATGCGTGACACTATTGTGCATGGAATCGATGTGAGTTTTGAGGCTCTTTTTATGAGAATATGACTTTCCGCAAATATCACACGAATGCGTGACACTATTGTGCACGAAATCGACGTGAGTTTTGAGATTATTCATAAGTGAAAACTTCTTTCCGCAAATATTACATGCGTGTTTGACACCATTGTGCATGGAATCGATGTGAATTTTGATGTAACATTTTTGCGAGAATGTCTTTCCGCAAATATCACACGAATGCGTGACACTATTGTGCACCGCATTGATGTGGACTCTGAGACTACTCCTATCTGAATACTTTTTTCCGCACGTATCACATGAGTGGGTAATGCGATGATGTAATGATTTGACATGCCTATTTAGATTACTCTCAGTCGAGAAATGTTCACCGCATGTGTCACATGGATGTTTGATACCATTATGGATCGCATCTATGTGGATTTTGAGATTGATTTTTCCAGAAAAAGACTTTCCGCAACTGTCGCATGCGTATCTGGCACCAATATGCATCGCACTCATGTGTTTTTTGAAGCTATGTCCGTTGTTTAACTTTTTTGCAATTCTTCTTCTATTATTTTGTTTGCCAAGTTGACAGTCGAGATTCAAATTCATTCGTTCTGTATCGTCATCAAAATTTTCCTGTTTCACTTCACTCACGGTTTCCATTTTAATTAGGTTTTCATTTGTATTATCATGGCTATTTTTTATATTCTGTAAGTGAATTTGAGAATCATCGTCAATTTTTCTAACTACTGACGAATTGGCGGTGGGCTTGACGTCTTCACATTCAACGATTATTTTCACTTCGTCGTCAAGTTCACATTTTTGAAATGTATGGGCCTAAAGAAAAATTAAATACAAATTACACGTAATTATAATACGAGTTACATAAATGTAATCATCAACACTTACCGAGTTTTCTCGCAGATGTGGTAATAGTTGGAAGTTTTTAAGATCGGGTTTTTCGTCAATCGTTTCCCAATCATTGTTAATAAGCGACACATCAATAGGCTCCTCCTTCACCCTGAAAATAGCCCTAATTAGGTTAAGTATTTTTTTTAATCGCTTTTTTCAATTTCATTCTCAAAAAATGAAGATTACCTCACGGCACTGTTAAATAAATCACTGGATTCCATATTGGTTACTTGGAATTCCCTTAACAATCATTCGGTATTAATTTTACAGATATCATTGATTACACGCGAAAAGACTGTCGAATACTGCTGTACAAGTGCTTATGGAATGCATAGCAAAACACCATAGCGGATAAAACCAGAGGTCGCGATTGCGACAAACGATGTAAACATTAGAACGAATTCAGCTTCATTATGCTCTTCCTCGGTTTTTCTGCGTAGTTTAAATTGAGTTTCATAACATTTACAAATTATCAATCATGCCATGAAATTTCGGAGATATCAGTGCAATCTCAAGTCATTGTATTCAATAAAAAAATGAAGTTATGTATCCGATATCTAATGAATATTAAACTTCTTTTTTTAGAAATTTACTATAACGGAAAAACAAGAAATAAAAAAATATTATATTGTTCGGGAAGCCCACTGAAAGAGAGCTACATAGTTTCATAAAAATGATCATGTCACAGAAAATTTTCCTGAGGTATAAATTTGTTTTGTAAAGAAATTCGATATGATATTTGTGTTTATCCCTCGGGCACTATGAATACAGTAATTTTTTCTAAAGGATTTTTTTCAGTGCACTAATGTGCAAGAATTATTTTTTACTCAATAATCATCAACTTCATGAAAAAAAAATTGTATAGAAAAAAACGTTGAATATATTTCCATAAATTCGTGTAAATTTTTTCCAAATCCTTGTAATGATCATTTCAAATTATTTAGAATCTGGTGCATTATTAAATTTTTTGTGGAAAATTTTGAAAAAATTCACATGTAATGTTTGAATAATTTTTATTTCACAAGAGTTGATTTGAAGAGTTGTTTTCATCGAGTTGATGGTTGTCTAACAAAAAATGAATGCAGTGTAACAATTACTAAAAATTGTATCATTGAAATTAAATTTTTTTGAATCGCAGTACAGTTTTCTGTAAGTTTTCAATTTTCTAAAAACAAAAAGATAATCAGAGAAGATTTCCAAATAATTTCAACAATATCAATAGCCACATTTACGCGATAACACGAATTTTCATCTTCTGAAATACAATTTAGTTGTAGACAAAATATCTAATAAAATTCCCATCGTAGGCGCACTTTTCTCAAACCTCAAATGACAAAAATTTCAATTGCAACATAAGCATCGTATTAATAAGGATTTTTTCTATAGCATGGCTCATGTACATCGATCCTCGCGCATTGTTTTTAAATTTCTCGCGATCGCGAGACTGCCTTGCAAAATTCATGGCTACGATGTGCTGCGCGGCACGGCGCTCGCGAGAAACTTGCAATATTGCACTTTAAACTTGTTTGCCGTATACGCGAAACGATATATTTACGTACGCCACAGTACATTTTGTAATTTCGGAGCGGTGCATAAAAACTTTACGATTTTCAATGCGGTTCGTATGTTGAGATTACGACGCAGTTTTTCTTTATTTACTCGTTCGTCCTTCTTAAAATGCATAAGGATTTATTGGGGGATGTTACAAAACGAATCGTTATCGTATCAATTGCTAGGACTCGTTTTTACCCGTTTGAAAAAATTTTAACCAATCAGTATAGTATATTTGAAAATGTAGACTTGAGCATATTTATAAAATCATTAAAGGATCGAATTTTATTAGCTCCATAAAGCTACTACAGAGTAAATTGTTGATGTCCAATTTAAAAAAAAAATATATTTGATAATGTTATTTCTCAAACATGATCTAAATGTTGTATCTTTGTTACAACACTAAATGTTGAATTGAGCGGTAAAAATTAATCAAGTCCATTTAATTCTTCGTCTAAAGCTCAGTTAATTTTTATTTCAATCGTATAACCTTACTCGTGATATACTCTCAACGAAGTTTCCTTTAGCATGGGTAGCAAAAGCACACGTATACAGTATCGTACTGAATAAAGAGCTTGATCTCTCTCTCTCTCTCTATATTTAAACAGGCGCATTAACGACTCGAGCTCGTGGATGGGTAGCTCTACATTACGATATATATACAATGGCTTTACACACATTTACAGAGACATGCACAGGAGAGAAGACTTGGTCGTCGACGGTGTGCCGTGGTGGTGTAGAAAGGAAGAGATTGAGGTCAGCGAGTGCTGCTGCTGCTGCTGCGCGAGCCCGAGGTAGTAAAAACGGGTCGAGAGTATGCCTGACGTTCGCGCACACACACAGCTCACCTTAATTGAAAATATACACGTGTCAAATTTCTATATAAAACTGACGGCGATTCGCGCCTGCGATGCGATCATCGCCGAGCGCATCGCGACTTCGTTTTATGTAATAAATGCTCGCGAAAGGATCATACGGGTGTATAGTTAATAATTTAACTCGCTTCGTCGAGGTTGGACTGCGCCGAAAGGACTCGAAAGAGAAGAATAGAACGAAAATACGTTACGAATTTTGGGTGAAATTCCGCAAGAGAAAAGAGAGAAAATGAATGAAACGATGAGTCAACGAAGCGCCCATTTCCTGTGTACCTTTCTTTCTTTTTAGGAGCGTCCCGATTTACAATCGCTCTGACGCCTGTATATAAATGAAACGATGCTCGTTTTTATCAAATTACGTCCTAGAGAGTGGCAGGAACGACGAGTTCAGAGAGAAAAGTCCAAGTTCGTTAGAACGAAATACTGGAAAAATCTAAATAAAGCTCGAAATTTATCCTTGCGACTTTTCATCCTCTTTCATTGTGTACTAACGATTGTGAATAAATGGGCAAGCCTCGATCAAAGCTTTTTTTTTTAATGTTAAATATATCGTATCGCATGTTGTGAATTTTTTAGAAAGAGATGAAGAAACGAAGAACGAGAGAGGATCCGAGCTTGCTGTATACAAATCGAAACAGCTGTTACAATTGTAGTAACCCACGTCAGTCGAGAGGGTGTAAGTAAAAATGAGAGAGAGAAAGGGAGGGAGGCGAAGCGATTGGTTGTTTTCCCTCTACAGTGCGCATATACATTACGAAATTTTCGCATTTGTTACAATTACTATCTATACACACTAGGCTATATACGAGGCATGGGACTCGAACGCGATATATACACAGCGAGCTAAAGAGATAGTTGCAGTTCGAGCCCGCGAGAGCTGGTAATAGTAGAGGCAGCTCATGAGCAGCAGCAGAAAGAGAGAGAGAGACTTGGGTTATCTAGGCCAAGAGACGGAAGAGGCCTCGTCGCTCTCTCTCTCTCTCTCTCTCTCTCACTCTATGTATGTGCGCGCGCGTCGAGCTCTGCTTCATACACACACACACACACACATATTCACAGGCAAGCTTGCTGCTTAGCTGCGCCTCAGCCTGCCATACCTGCCTCGGCTTCTTTCTCTCTCTGTTTCAAGTTGTTGCGGGAAACTTGCCTTGGTTCTCCTCGATAGAGTTCGTATGTGGCAGAAAGAGAGAGAAGCAGCGCTGCACTAATACCGAGAGCTGCAAGGGAATTGGGGAATCCGTTTGCTCCGCTTTTCTCTTTCTCTCTATCTCTCGGCTCTATACATGCGAGAATTTCTGTTCGTAGCTTTCGAACGTTCTCTGCACCGCTACTGTGCTGTGGTCAGAAAAGGACTCGTCTATTCGCTACCCAGTATTATCAACTTTACTATTAACAACTATACTCGATCTACAGCCCTACTACTCGAGCTACTTCTCTCTTTCTCTCTCTCTTTTGTATTTTCCTCGTCCTCCCAAACACACGAGCCGCAGAAGGGGTGGGTAGTTTTTTCGAGAGTAGGCAAAGCCGCGCTGCTCCTCCACCAACCACCCTCACGTGTATACAAAAAAACTGCTACTTATCTAGTTTTTATTTTCAATCCAATGCCGCGCGCGTCTCGATGATCGCCCGATGGAATTCTTTATGTAACGTACAGTTACGAGATAAAGAGAGAGAGAGAGAGAGAAATTAATGCAAATCGATCCGTACGTACGCCAATGTTACATACAGAACTCGTCTTGCTCCTTTTTATTTCTATGGCAAAGTTAAAGACACGGATTTTACTGTAAGAAAGCTCTCTGCCAAACGCCAAAAAGATACGTTTCCAACGTTAGCCTACGTTATACGCGCTGCGCACACGCATTTATCAACTTTGCGTTTATCAGTTTCTCTCTCTGTCTTTCTCTCTTTACGATTTTATAGTGTATATAACGTAATACGTGTCTCTTTTCCACAGCCGGAGGCATTCCACGCGCGGACGCTTGCTTGGCGCGTTTTTATATGTATATTATATATATAGTGACACTGGCACGGTATTATATATACAGTGAGGAGCTGCTGAAAACGACGCGGGGGGAAGTCGAAGTATTTTTAGTTCTTGGTAGTAGCAGTAGTAGTTGTTTTTTCTCCTTCTATCTCTCTCTCTCTCTTCTTTCTCATGACTCGTAAATGTCGGCCATTTCAAGTAGTAGTTTCTCGCGCTGAAACTCTCTAATGGGCGATATCCCTCTGCAGCCGAGTAGCAGAATGATGCCATGTGTAAAAGCCCGATGATCCTCGAGTATAGTCCTTTTTGGGGTTTCGATGGAAGAAGGGGATGAAAGGACGATGATGATTTTTCGATGGTTTCTTTGGTTTTGCATAAGAGGTGTTTATACCCTCCACGATTCGAAGCGACGTATACACCCTCTGGTACACGTGTTTCACTTCGAGGCTGTACGAACAGTTGTCGATGCTGAGATGGGCGTAATTTCGTGTCATGAAAGCTCCACTTTCCAATAGCCAAGTTAAAATTATAAAATTTAGTTTCTTTTTAATAAAAAAAAGATTTTTCGAGTGCAATTTAGATTTTAATAAAGAATTTCCATGTGTTTTTTGCTTCTGTACGACGAGTTTTGGCTAATTTCAGAAAAAGAGAGATGCCATTTTGATTATACTGGTCTCGACCGTCCAAGGAATTCCTCCCATATGTTACACACAGCCGCGCGTCCGGCAAGTGTACTTTCGAGTGTCGACTTCCTCTCGCATGGAGTAGAGCTTGATATATATATGCACGATTAATGCCGTAATCCGTTAAACTATTTCGAATGATAGCTGGACGCGAATTTTATTTTTATTTTTATTTTCTTGCTGTTTTCCGGAAGTCGT